CTTAAAAAAGGCTGATCTTAAATGGAAAAAAATAAAATGGAAAACAATAATTAATTTAATGGAAACCACAATTTTAGTTTACAAAAACACAGTAGGTAATTGTACTATGTATGCAGCCTAATTAGTTATATTTTTAAGCTTGCATTTAGCTAGTTGTATATTTAATGGTTACAGAGAAATGTACAATAAAATACAACAATAAAAACACAACATTAACTAGTCTCAAAAGTAGCTAATCTAGTCTAGTTAGCTAGTCTTTGCCACCCAGCGGAGGCTCTATTTGCAAAATGGCCTTCAGTCATGTATTTTACACATTAGCTCAATGGCTGCTGGCAGGTGGTGGCTGAGAGTTTCTAATGCATGATTTTGAGTTAACAAGTCTGTTCTACACAAAGAACAGAAACAAAGAAACAAACACTTAGCAATGTTTTAAAGATTTCCCCAGTTTCCTAAAAACTAGTATCCAGTTAAAACATAAAAATATTACATTTCCTTCTTCATCTTCAATTTCTGTTTCCTTGGAAACATGTAAATTGTTCTGCCGTTTCTTCACACATAAAAAAACAGAAGTAAGTTCTTGCCCATATTACTAGCCACTTATCATCAAAACTTGTGTATTTACAGGCTCATCTATATTTATCTTATCTGTTAATTTAAACAAATTTTATTTTTGACTGGCAAGACCTATTTCCTGCACCCAATACGTGTTTTTGGCAGGCCAAGGATATGCCTACAGAATTAAATGTATTAGTGTAATCACCTTTTTAAAATGTAGCCCACTAGATAGTTATTTTTTGTGTCTGCTGGCTCTCATAAGTAAGTGACTTACAGGCAGAATAATTTTAGATTTACTGGTTAGACCTCGCTTCAAGTAATAATCTTGTATGAGTACCAAAGATACTTTAATTGGACAAACTTTTCTGTCCAAATAAGGCATGAATAAAATGTGTGTTCCCAGTTCCCAACATTTAAGGAGGGCAGGCCCACACTGACCTGCACGGTTCAGTGCACATTTAAAGGGAGAGAAATGGAAATGTCAACTGTAGAAGTCAATGAGCCAAGAAAACACCAGAGAAATAAAACCAGGTCCGATGTTCGGAAACTGATGAAAACGGCATATGACTTAAGCAGAGCCTTGACAGTTCATTGCAAATGAGGGCAGTGCTCAGAAATTGGCCTAAATTGAAGATAGATTGATGGTCTCTCTTGATGCAGAGAAAATCAATGTTAGAAGATATGAGAGCTAGTGTGAGGCATCAGAGATAAATAGACGTGACTGTATCTATTTGTTTGTGGACATATTAATCAGGCCCAGTAGTACATCAAGTCAGAAAATGAAGTTCAACCCAGCCGATATGAGATTAGTTAAATAGACAGGTCCACAACTCAGATGGAGGAGGCATTAAACATTACTGTTTTTCAGGTTGTACGCGTCACGGTAAAACAAGGCCTCTATTCAAGCTGCACATTTGTACACGCAAACAGTCCCGCACAAAGTTTCTCTTCTAGTCGAGCCTCCTAAAAATAATTTAGTGCACACTAATTCAAAGCTCTCCTTTTCAATTAGTGGGAAGGTCAGGATTGTCAGAAGGAAGCAAATGAAACACAAGCTTAGGTTTTAATGAGGATCTCCACTGCAGCGAGACTCTACAACCTCGTGTCTGATAAGATTTTCTAACTGTGATCAAATCAAGTTAGGAAAAATCCATTTACATGCAGGATTTGATGGTGAGTGAATAGATGGGAAGTTATAGTTTGGTTCTGACCATTTGTATTTTAGGGGCTATTACCATTCAACCTTGGCATCTGAGAAAGGGTCCCCCTAGTCAGCGCTTTCAAGTAAATTCAAAGGAGTGTTTTGACGCGGGGAAGTGGTACATGAATCATTATTTTTAAAAGTATAACCTCTCTACCTTTTGCCATTGATGAGATGTAAATACAGAAAAAGAAACATCAGCCCCATGTTGACTATCCCCGTGCCTGCCTCTGGTATATGAGATGATTCATTATCATGTACATATCCCCAGTGAAGACTGAGATGTTTATATCTGCAACAAGAAGTCTGAGACTATTTCAGCAGCATATTATTAATGCAGCCCTTCTCATTTCTCTCTTTACCTGCTACTCTCAAATAATTAAGAGATCTAGTGTTCCTGGTTGCAGTATTATTGAGAATTGGATTTTCACTTGACTGCTTCTCCATCACCGGTCAGCCAGCAGCTTATGAGCTGGTTAGCTTAAAGAAAGTGGGATCAGTTTCTTACAAGGATGTAGCTGGGTTCAAATCTATAGGCCTGTTTCTTGAGACAAAGCCCAGATAATTTTGTTGTTATCATATCTGTGATGCTTAATGCAACCAAAGAACAACAGTGATGAAATGTCAAAATGTTGAGGAGGATGCATTTATATTGCTTCTCCTGAGACATTTCTTCACAAATGAGTATTCTGAAATGCAGTGCAAAGTCTAGACAGAAATAATAAATAATTTATCTTTCATTATGAGTGGCTGATAACAAAACTTTGATGTTTAGATAGAAATATTATCCACATGATTAATAACAAAATGAGCTCCTGAAACACAATCGACATTCCTCTAATTAAACTGACCTGTGGCCTATATCCCAGGTCTAAAGCACCAGTTTTTGTATTCTGGTTGTCAAAGAAACATGAGGTAAAATACATCCCATAAAAAAAGTGTCTCAACAACAAGTATTTATCAAAAACACTACATAGATGATCTCTTATTTCATGATTACCAGTACATCCACTGTGGAAGGCAGAGTGAAACCTTTGGTTTTGTCCAAATATTTATCCACCTGGTTCAAGGAAAAACATACTGGATCTTCATGATCCCCAGAGGATGGATCATAATTACTTTAGTGACTTTTCCAGTGTTTGTCAGTGTTTTTACACCACCTACAACTTTAGAAAATATTATATAGTTATATAGTTCGCCATCACCAGTGGTGCCTGTACCATACTTTGAGAACTAGTGCTCTAGAGCCACCATGAGCTTCACATTGTGGTTTTTAGTGAAATGGTGTGTGGGCTTGAAGCACTGCTGTGCGTCATGGTCATGTTAACAACAGCAAGAATTCACATGGTCACCTGAAAACTCAAGACCGTTGTTTGATTACAGAAGTGGTTGCGTGAGAGATAAAAATACTGAGCATTGATAATATAACCACATATCCAATACATGCGGGTTTTCAGGCACTTCCTTACGAGTGCCACGTCACTATACCTAACCAGACCAGTTGTTGAACTTCTTCCTGTGACCAGTATTTCTTCGACACACTGTACATATTTGGTGTTATTCACTCATAATGTAACCATAAATCCCATCAAATGCTTGCTGGCTGAAGGTCAGCTACCATCCCTTCTTCACAAGGTTACGTCAGGTCAACCACACAGACAGATACATTATACTGCATACATTATTCAGGAGTATATACTTACCAAACTACTGTTACCTGTATAATAGACCTCGTTTTTCAACCCTGTGACTGCCACTAAAATAATTCAGCCTTAAATCACACCCACGAAGAAGAGGTTTTAACAGCAAATTAAGCCTATCAGGAGAAAGAGGTGCTGCTATTTATGTGGACTATGTGTGTCTTGGGAGGTCATTAGAACAAGCTGAGTAATTCAGTAAATAAGCTGCTGGCAAAGTCAGTACACTTTCTCTTTCTAACAACCCTGACATGCCAGCACGAAGTCAGGCTCCCATTCAATCAGCCCCTCAGAAAACTCCATCCACCTGACTTTGAATTGTGTTGGGATAAGCAGCAACATGACACAAGTTGCAAACTAAAAAAAACAAATAACACAGGGAAATGAAATTAAGCTTTAGCTGGAAGCATCTGATAAGTTTATGGAAATTAAAGTTTTATGTAAATCAGTTGTCTGCCTGGCCCTGTGCCAGATCACGAGGGGCTGCACTATATTGCATTCAAATTAGCAGCCTCAGAAAACTCAGCAGCTATGCCTAACAAGCCCCAAAACAACATTACATGCAATCTAGACAGTGCACTGCATATTTTAAAATAGATCTAATATTATCTGCTCACTCCTAACATCGCACCTATTGCTGTAAAAATGATTAATAACCAATCTCTACAATGATACAATATTACTACTGTAACCCACTATAGCTCTGCTTCTTCATTGTTTTCTCAAAATTTAGCATAAAGAAACACTCTGAAGTTACATCAGTATTAATTCTTGTGATAATTCTTTATTTAAACAACCCTCCTTTCGATTTCTTAGAAGACCAGGCAAAGTGTGTGAGTGAAACCGTAAGCACACTGCAGATCTGAGAGACGTTCCAGTCACAGATTACACTGACATCTTGTGGACAAAGAATGCAACTTCAGGGACAGACTATGTGCCAGATACATTTACTACTCCAACATCTCTGTCTCATTTAATCTTGTGTAAAGATCGCATCGTTTGTGTGGCATCTCCTTTTGCATTTATTGATCCAGCAGATGCTCCTCTGTAATGGCACTTATGGGGTTACAAATAGGGTAGCTACAAATCAGATATTCAACAACAACAATAATAATAATAATATGATAATAATAATAATATAATAAAACATTTACATTACACTCCTCACCTTTAAATGTAAGATCAAATTCTAATTTAAGTGTATGAGTAAAAACACCCTCTTTTCAAAGGCATAAGGCACAGTTGGATTAAGATGTCGTTAGGTTTTAGGTCACTGCTGCCTTTCACACCTGCTGGGCCGATGCTACCTTGAGATGGTGGAGCTGGCGTGCGATTGGCTAGATGAAGTAGTGGCAGCACTGAGCTGAGAGAAACCACTATGACTAGACTCCAGACTGGTCATGGATCCCCTGGAAATAACAGAGAGGGAATGTTCTCATACATGATTCTGTCCAATCAATTACTGTAAAAACAAACACAGTAGAACGTCTGCTAAACACGTGGCGATAATTCCAAAAATACCATTGATTTGTGTGTGAGTCACTAAATTACAAAGGAAAAAAATGACACATCCGGAGAATAAAGAGCTCAGCGGAATAAATAAACTGACCTGAAGTCGTGGGAGGCCAGCACCTCGGTGTAGTACATGATCTTACACTTGTGGGAGGACACCTGCAGCGAGGCCAGCACATCATCCACACGAGGCAGGCTGGTGGCAGAACAAGCTGGGGAGCTGTGGAAGCGCCACTGGAGGATGTAGAAGCCGGGCCAGCGTGTTACATGGGAGCCCTGTAAAAAAAAAAGAGGAAAGCTGCAGGATCAATTTAACTCCTTTGGTGCAACAGGCAGCAAACAAGGGACAAAGAAAGTTTAGTCCGCCATCTTCTTTCTGACCTGTACGCTCTCTCCCTCCCTGCAGGTGAGGGCTTTCTCCACCATGCTGTAGTCCTTTCCCAGCAGCCAGCTCCTGTCTATCACCTGGGCATTAACTACCCCTAGGGACGTGATGCCGTGGGCTCCGAGAGTGTCTTTCTTTGGAGGCTGTGGGGCCCTCTTGGAATGGTAGATGTTGAAGATTACATCTCCTTTGGACACGTCAAAGTCCCAGGTGATGACAGAGGAGGCCTCTGTGATCTCGATCAGCAACTGCAGGAGGATGTAAGGAGATTGGAAACACAGAACAGTAGACAGAAGGCCATTAATCACGTTTCTCTTTTGCTGCAAGCTTGCAATGTAGATTTCTTCCAGATGGTGGGGCCCTAATACAGTGTAAGATCCAGCATAGGTAGAAATTGGAAATGTAAATCTTTACACGACACAATTAAGGTAGCCCAACTCTATAACATATGGATCTGGGTGCTGATTTAAAAGCTGTATGTGTACCTCATATGGGGCTCCTTTAAAGATACTGGCACTCTTATAGATGGAGTCGGTCAACAGGCGGTTTTCCTCACTCTCCAGCTCTTCTGCTGTCCTGTACAGAGATTTGGGGACCATACCTCCCTCAGGGATGTCACACTAGAGAGGGCAGAAGAAAAACAAAACATCAAGTCAGATTAATACATATTATTATATATGATATTAATACTCTGCTTGTGTGTAAATAAGAGCTGTTTTGAGAATAAAGTCAGTGTGTTCAGGTTGGTATGCTGTGGACTAAACCTCACCATGCAGTCCCCACCCAAGAAGTCTGGGAGGATTTGTTTGTCAATGTAGTCAACCAATCCACCTGGACCCTGGTAGTCGTTCCCAGCATAAACAAGGAACTTCTTACGAGTGTTCTCATCAATCAGGGGGCTGATCTGGAAAAGAAACACCAAGAGTCATCAGAGAACATGAAAGCAGCAGCAGGTTCAAATGTTATGAACTGTAAAAGTTAATCCATGAATATTTGAATTATTCATGTAAACAGGTTGACTGGTTAATGGTGTTACTATCTGTATTTGTACTATATATTATAATAGAATAACTATTTCATTTACTATTTGTCAGTAGACAAATTCTCCAGGTAGAAGCTGCTGCTGTTATTGTATACTGCTTTTATTACTTTTTATTATTGTTTTGATTTATTTTCATATATTGGTGTACTTGTTTTACAACTTGTCTTTATTTCTTTGCTGAATGCTATTACTCTCCTACACTACTATACCATTGAATATTGCTGTAGCAATAATCAAATCTCCCCCATGAGCTTCTGCATATTGCATGGCAATAATTATCTTCCTCTCCATTTCTTCTTTATTCATCATTTGCTCATATTCACAATGTGCAATCTCTGTGTCTGCACTGTACATCTTCATGCATTCTTCCACAATCAGATGATTTATTTAAGTCACATTAGCTGCTGCATGCAAAATTCAAGTTATTATTCTCACCAGGGTCCAGAGGACTGGAAAAACTCTAGGCGCCCTCAGTATAAGCAGGCGACCCAGAGTCTCAGGGTAGTTGGCCTCCACCATCTCGATGATTCTCAGCAAAGCCTTAACACCTGGTCTCCACAGGTGACGCATGTTAAGACCCTCCAGATCCACCAGGCAAGTCCAGCAGCTGACCGACCAATTAACATAGACGTCACATGACTATATATACAAGCGTGTGTATACCTGATTAGATGTTAACCAATGAGACACTGACAGAAGATGGATGAATTCATATTTAGGCACCTTATGGGCCGACCAAAGACTCTGGTGTTTTCTTCACAACGCCTCAGTCCCTCCTCATTGATGGACAGGACCTGAGTCACATTCATCAGGTTGAAGCATTAATGCAACTGAAGAAATTTTAAATGGAAAACACTATGTTTATGTGCGTGTATTCATGTCACCTGTCTCAGCAGCACCTCCTCTCCCAAGGCTCGTACCAAGCCCTTAGTGTCCATTTGCCCCAGACGCAAGATATACAGGGGGCGGCCATCTAAAACACACACACACACACACACACATAAAAATTCAAAGATTGTACAACAAATTAGAATCAGTCAGATTATTTCGTAGTAATGATTCTTACTACATTTAGGACCCCACCCGCCCCCTTGTCTATATAAACTCTAACCTGGTGGATCACCTTAGCTGTTAAAAGCAATGACTCATTTTCAAACATGGGAGCTACGACAGATGGTGCTCAGACTTTACAGTCAATAATTAACGGGCCGCTTCGACCCGTGTGGACTTTAGAAATACATAAGACTAAACCCCTTTGCCTCTTTATCGTCACATTCACAGATAAGTTTTCACTTTCACTGTAGATAAACCAGCACAATACCAGTTGGCAGTGAAAAAGTGAAAATGAGATTAACTAAACACCACATAGGCAGGCAGCCAGTATTATTCACACAGTACCTCTGTCGTGGTGGTGCCAGCCTCCGGTGTAATAGTCCTGAAGCAGTTGCGGGCGCTCCCAGGTGTCTAACAGGAAGTCTACCTGGTGTTGCTTCCTCCAGGTCAGCGACTGGCACAAGAACTCCCTGGCCTTGTCGAGGTTGAAATCTCTGGCCCTCAGAAAGCGAAGCACATGCTGATCCTTTGGAATCTGTACAACAACAAGTTGAGGTCTAAACTCCAATGCAAAGCTCTAAGTTACTGATAAATGCTTAATCTTATTTTCTATCTGTAATCTACAGTACATGTGAGAGGCAAAACTGATTTAACCTGAGCAGATTTTGTAAGTATCTAAAAATATGTAAATATGTGAATTTTACATAATTGCACAGACTGCAGTGTAGTGTATATGTGACCTTGCCCTTGTGGTTTTCTTGGAGCCACTGGCGCAGTCGAATGAGACAGCTCTCCTGCAGAGGCGTTAAATCACCTAGGTAACGCCTGATGTAGTCAGCATCCAGCTTGTCTAAAGGCCAGAACACATGTACAGTGTAAAGTTAGCACATATTGCATGTACACAACGGAGACATCAGGAGCTATACACAGTGTATTTTCAACATGAGCTAAAATAATAAAACTAGCGTGCAGATCTCCAAAGTGATCTCCGAAAAGTGTGTCTGGGGGCATGTGGGTGGGGAACAGGGAGAGCGGGCTGTGTCCAGCATGTACGCATGAGTAGTGGAATGAGGGGAGACGATATGCAGGTTATCAAGGTGTAACCAGAGTAAAGAGGCTATATACAGACAAATCGCAGACAATTTCAAAGCACCAGCAATGTGAAATGTAGATCTTAAAGTGAAAGTTTCAACAAAAGGCTCTTCTAACACTAACATGCCCACCACGTACGCTGTTGATCACTTGTGGCCCCTACCAGTCGGTTAAGAGGAGCTTGGAGTCAGCAGTCAATGGCAACATTAAACAGAGAAATCAATAAAATATATATATTTATTAATTGTGAATCACCACAACCATGAGAGGTTCTTGAGCATATCGTCACATCATAAACCATAATGGTACTAGTAGTATGACAGATGAGCTGCTGACAGCACACACACGGACACATGATCAAAGGCATGATCCCCTGCAGGTTTACGCCTGGCAGGCATAAGTTGTTTCTGCAAGCTTTGCCCTGTTTGGTACCATTAGTGGTGGAGTGAGATTAAAAGCTTGCCAACAGTCTAGTCTCACTGAGACAATAATATATTCTGCTTTTAAAATATTACATATAGTAACAGAAAAATCAATATCTTACAATTCCCTGATTAACTGTTACTCTAAAAAAATTAAGTAGCAAGTTATTTCGCCCTCTGCAAATATCTCTTTCCTTTCAGTGAATGTACGCACTGTGAACAAGTCAATATAAAGACATTATGAATAATACACACATTTCTTAACTCGATCACTGCAATTTTGTGTTGTGTGTTGGCTGCTATTCCACACTGAATTGTGAATAGAGAGTGAACACTGACCGTCTGGAGAGCCTACCACCAGCTCTGCGGGACAGGCCGGGTCTCTACTGTCCAGCCCACCTTTAGCACCATTCACTGGGACGGTTTTGGCAGTAGAGGGGGGCAGCAGCTGGAGCCTGGCAGTGCCAGAGACAACAGGGGGGGTCCAGCGAGGTATGTAAGTTACCCCTTCTTCCTCCAGCTCTCTGAGGTAGTACTCAATAATTTCTTTACCCTACAATCACAGAAAGGAGACAAAACCTTGGGTGACTGCAGGTCACACCATGGTAAATGCAACAGACAAGCTCAACACGTCACAGAACACAGACAAAATGTATGTATAAGTACAGTTCAAAGATTCAAACCTTCTTAATGCTGCTAGCATACTGTTTCATAGCTATCTTCTCTGCGGTGCTCTCAAAGCCAAAAAAGGACTTCATATCCAGACTGGCCGTCTGTTCGAAGCACGTCCAGTCCTCATTCTCTGGATGAACCTAAGGAGAGAGATAATGAGTCAATATATATAATATAATATATA